TCAAAAAGAAAATTAGATATAATGAGCAAACATGTACCAAATATATTGCAAAGATTCAGAAGAACAAAAAGATAAGCATCTCTACTAAAAACAACCTTTACGAGATCTGATAGATAAATGTGCCTCCAGAATCAAAACAAAAAAATTGCAAAACTAATTTAAAACTTAATTCAGAACACTTTTTATCAAGTTGTTCTAAAGCAGTGCTGGGAGGGCTTTCTCCACATGTACGTAGAACATTAAATTTCAACAGTCAGAAACATATAGAAATCATGCCAACTAAAGTCGAGAACTCCCTTATGTTGTTAGAAGATGAAACATTATTTTGCAATTAAATTTCATATATAGTTACGACATTCACATTGATAGGATGGAAGTTCTGAGAAGCACTACACCTGCCTCACATCTTTGTTTGCAAGATCCTCTTCGAGATCCTATAAGAAGTAGACTAAATTAACCACACAAAATAAAGACTAGCACAAAAAATAAATAAAAGCAAGCTTGAGTGTCGACTAAAGAAAGGGGACATACATCAAAGAATTTGCTATGGATTTGCCTAAGGACCTTTAGCACAGATGCAAGTGCTCCATCAGTCTCATTCTCATCACTCTTCAACTCGGAAAGAGATCTACAATTGTAGCCAAATTGATGACAACTCGAAGCAAAGAAATGATATCTTTCCATCAGTATCAAATTGTCTTTATGTTTCACCCATGCCTAAACTAACAAATTCAGATAAAACATTTGTAAGCCAAGCACAAGAAGAGGCTCATGGATACCTCAAAGAAAAGTTCAAGTATGGAAATGATAACCAGAAATTCTTCAAAACATGCTTCATGAGCAAATATAATCATCATGAAAACAAATACCTCAGCAAATTTGTTGACAAGAATAAAGAAAACATTATTAAATGAAGCAAATATGATGATAAGAGAAAAAACATTAATGAATCAAAGGTTTGTGTTAATCAACATGAATGGCGAAGGGATAACGTCAAAACTAAAGAGCATATAATTTTCTCTCACATTTTCAACATGTGAAGCCGGCCAGGATGAGGAATGCTGCCAACTTTGGCAAAAGCTATAAAATGGAATTAAGGTTCCCTCCCCCCACCACATGCATGCACAATCAGAAAAGATACCTTATTTCAACAAGGACAGCAGAATCCAGAGAAATTTAGTAAATATGAAGTAGCCATATTTCCCAAACAATGCTTGATATTTCCCAAACACAAACACATAGCCATCAATTTTGATCCTCTAAATATACTTAAGACATCATATTAATTTAGTAAATATGAAGTAGCTGCTACCTGAAGCACTTACATTCTCAGTATCATCAAGGATTAGAACAGCACTTTCTTGGCCAAGAACCACATCAAGACCTTTTTGATGTTTTACAGTCCCATCATCCCGAGAAATTACTCTATCGCCAAAGTATTCTCCTCTAGGGTCAAGCAATTTAGCCATTTGTAATGCATAAGGCCGATCTCCCATTGTGTATATGTACATCTCAAACATTTCACTTGCTTCTTTCAGAAATACATGAACAAACGGCCTTAATTTGGTCATCATATGCATGAATTCCAACATGAAGAGGCTTCCTTTTGAAACATCTGTCCATTTCATGCCAATTTTATCCCACAATGTTACAGGAATTCGGTATAAATGCAATGATTATAGAGCGCAATAAGATACTAAAAGAAAATGATATCATGATGGCAGTCAAAAACCACAAAGTATGCATGCAAGTAAACTTCATAACATATTTCATCTAATGGTTGACGTCAAAACAAATTGAATACAGTTTTGGGCTTTCCCATTAATCATTGTGGCCAAAAACAATAGAATAGAACACAACTTTTACAAAATTCAACATGATAAATACAACATAAAATTCAGCAAGCTGCATAATTTTACATTTGTCCATCAACAATTGAAGACATCTTGCTCTTGTGTTAACACTATCTTAGAGGATATGGCTGCTAACAGTAACAAAGCCGACTAAAACTGTAAATGGTAAACTCCAGCTAACCACTGAAAAAGAATCTTCTATGTGAAGAGGGCCAAGGGAAATTTTTTTATTTATCTGTGGTATAGATTAGGAACTGCAAGATATCACCATAGCATAATAGATATCCCCCAAGAAATTTGCAAGCAGTCAATTATATACCCAAAATCATCCACCCTATACAAGTCAATGTTCGCATAATAAAAATCCAAACAAATGGAACCATCTATCTCTAATCTTTGTGATGTCACTTTCAACCCCTCAAAATCCCTCTTATTTCTTTCCTTCCAAATAATCCACCAGACAGGAATTAAACTAGTAACTTTTTTTTTTTCTTAACCCCTCCCAGGCCCACAACTCCTCCTTAATAGACCCAGCCATAACCCAATTTACCCCCAAGAGGCTGAAAATCATAGCCCAGATTTCCAGGGCAGCATGACAGAAAAGCAAAAGATGATTGTATGTTTCAGCCTCCCTTTTGCAGCACATATTTATATATATGTATATGTATATGTATATATATTTATCTTGCTGGAGGATGGATATGAACTGAATTTCTAAATAAATAAAAAATTGTACTGCAACTATGTATGAGTAGTAGTAGTATGACTAAGATTAGCACTTAAGAAATTATTAGGGTTTTATTTTATTTAGGAATTTTATTACTTGGGATTTACTTTATGAACTGTCAGGGTTCTGGCTCATGTGTTGCCTGGTACTGCCCTTGTGACAGTTGCCAAGAGGAATGAGGGGTGAGAAAGAGAAGGTGTGTGAGAAAGGGAATCTGAGGGAAGAGAACTGTAAGGAGAATGTAGAAAGAAGTCTGCTAGTGAATCTCCCTGCCTAA